GCTTATTTGCAAGTACCTCAACAAGAAGAAGTTCTGGTAACTATCTCATCGTGGATGAAGAAAGCTTGCAACATTGGAGAAGGAATTGTTTGGAGACTGAAGAGATGTCTACCTGGACAGAGGAATGCTGCAACCTGTTGGTATGAACATTTGAAATCTATTCTCGAGAAGCTTGGATTTGTCTTCTCAGTTCACGTGCCCGCACTGGCACGACGTTTTAAGAGGAAACTGTGTATTGTATCTCAATCCATGTGGATGATGAGCTATTGGCAGGTGAGAAGTACGAGACTATTTGGTTGGTTGAAGAATTGGAGAAAATCTTCAGAGTCGAGAAGGAAGGACCTTACCCATTGGGCAGAATCGGAAAAGGAGAAGAGTTGCGCTATCTGAAGCGTAAGTATGTGTTTGTAGCTGGAGGAATTGTCGTACAGCCAAACGAGAAGTATGTGAAGAAGTTAGTGGAACTGTATGACCTTGGAAGGTTGAAGAGTAAAGCCACATCGGAACATGTAGACTTAGTCAAGGAAGACAAGAGTAAGGAATTGGGACCTGAAGAAACGAAGCGATTCAGATCAGGATTAGGATCAATCCTGTACCTAGCCCAGGACACGATCGACAGTCAGTATGCCTCAAAATGTCTTGCGTCGTCTCTGTCAAGGCCAACCCAGCAGAGTCTGAAATGTTTGAAGCACCTGATACTGTATTTACAAGGAACTGCAAATCGGTCTACACTATTACAGTACGGCAGTGAGGGCAGTAGACTCATCACGAGATTGAATGGCAAAGAAGATGTACGGCAGTGAGGGCAGTAGACTCATCACGAGATTGAATGGCAAAGAAGATGCAGAAATTGCACCGGAGTCCGGACATGTAGTGGAAGCCTATTCGGACAGCGATTGGGGAAGTCTGAAGACACCCGAGAAAGCCCGACGAAAATCTACATCATCTGGTATCATCGTACTGAATGGTATTCAAGTACTCAGTTTCTCAAGGACTCAGAAAGCCACAGCTTCGTCAAGTTGTGAAGCAGAGTTGTATGCACTCAGTGGGACATGTGGAGAAACTATACTTGTTGGACGTTTGTTTCAGTTCTTTACTGAAGAAGCAGTTCGTGTGGAAGTACGTTGTGACTCTAGTTCAGCCAGACAGTGGTCTCAAAGAAGAGGAGTTGGACCTTTGAAGCACGTGGACGTAAGGCTATGTCAATTGCAAGATTGGGTACGAGATGGAATCGTAAAACTTGGAGCCTTGAAGACAGTATTGAACGTTGCTGATTGGAACACGAAGAAGTTAACGTATGCCAGGAGAGCATTTCTGTGGTATTTCCTATTCCAAGTTGAGTATTCGGAAGATGGAGAACTTGTTCGTACTGGAGAGGATGAGTACGAAAAGCATGAACAGGAAAAGAGGTTGAAAGAGTATGTAGGAAGTAACCAAGTGAAGAACCTCATTAGGTTGATCCAAGTGTTCAGTGTGATTCACCCATCTACCGCAGCCTGGATCAAGGATAGCAACGAGAGCCTGAAATCCGAATCTCAGAGTATTGGAAGGATGGACAATGGCAAGTACACGAAGTTCGAAGTATTTATGGTATGCGCAGTGCTGACGCTGGCAATGCCGTATGCTTTGCAAGCGATGAAAAAGATCAGGACAATGATCCTAGCCATATGGCGCACAGGAATGGTGAAGATCCACGCACATTCCCAGAATAAAGTGTTCCACCGTCAAACGTGCCATCACAAGCCCGACATGGTGAGTTCATCTACCTCGATGCCGACGAGGCACGGAATCAAGGATACCGTCCTTGTTACATTTGCTTTCCCTTTCCCGAAGCCAAAGGGAAACGGAATTTGTGCCACAAGCCAAAAAGAGGAAGGAGCCGCCAAGAACCAGAAGAAGCCACCAGTGGAGAAGATGATCGGGAAGTGGCAGAAGTTACTGGAGAAGAACCTGAAGGACCGTTTGTAGTATGCCCCAGAATGTGCTATTGGTGTGGAAGCCAACGGTGTGTTCGAAGGAAAGTCAACCACCAACGGTGTGCTTGTGAAGCATGTATCCAGAGCTATGCCACGAATCGGTGGAAGGAGACTTACGATACGAACCAAGAATCTGAGGATGGACAGGATTGGAACCCAAGTACCTCAACAGAACAGAGTGTGACCCAGACAGAAGGACCGAAAGGATCGTCTAAAGGTGGAATGCGCCGGAGGACAAGGAGCTTTGATGACAGTCGCTATGGTGGAGAACGCTACGAGTATATGCCCCCGCAAAGGACAGGTCAAGCTATGAGACGCGGAATGGCAGCTGGACCAATTGGGCAAGGAATGAATGCAAACAATGCACCAGGAGCAAGTATGCCCAGCATTGATGAAGATGATTTCCATGCTGGAAGAAGAGTTGTATCAGGAGAAAGCGGAACAACTCAGGAGAGTACGTATGAGGACCAAACCTCGTTGGAAGAAATGAGACAGCGCATCGTCCCAGAGTACATAACGGAGATGTACGAGAACTCACGTTCAAGAACTGGCCAAGAGTCCGTGGAACCAGGTACGCCGGACTCTACGGAAGCCAGAACGCGGTCGTAAGACCTACCTCCTGCAGAAGAAGGAAGAGGAGAAGTGAGTGTAGGCAAAGTTTCACCCGCTAATGTGTCAGAAAGATGGAAGCCCTGCGAGCACTGTGACCGCAGTCAAAACGAAATGTGGTTGCTTTTTGCTCAGGAAGTATTTGGAAAGGACGAGGTATGTGTTACTGTACAAGTCTGGTGTTTGTTGTGTGGATGAGCTGGCCAACGAGCAATCCCCGATAATTGGGGGAAGGGAAAAAGGTGGGTCTATTGCACTCAATTGTGTAAACCGCACGCCGAGTCAAACTCGCGGTGGTACGGGAAGTGCCCACGGCCAGTACGGAAACTTGTACGTACAGCACACACACCTCGAGGCAGGGTGTTGAATTTCCTGTATAGGTAAGTCCCCCTTTGGAGAGCCCAAGGCTACGGCATGGTAATACGTAAAGCCGACCCGTGCAGCGCCTTTTGCTCAAGCAGTAAAAAGAGTGACTGCGTAGGGTGGTACAGTTTAACTGAGTCCCCTGTACCTGAAAACTTGAGGACAGCACGTCGCCGAAGCCATGAACACCCTTTAAACGGGCCTACGAGCAAAATTCTCGAAAGTACACACCTGTCTAATCCCATGAGCGTCCAACCCCATCCGACAGCATGAACAACTTGTGGGAAGCGGGTCGAAAGATTCGCATGAGGATCTGGTGGCTCATCGCTTTCTGGTCCGATCTGGTGTGAGCAATCTCGAAGACAAGGACGAGGAGGAGCCGAGGAAGAGAAGGCTCTGGGAGTCGGGGGTGGGCCGGAGTTCTGTTCTTGAGGAGGAAGAAAGGGAAGCCGATGAGCTGCTCTTCGAACGCCTGCAGGGCCAGGCCAGGCCCAGAGCGCCCCCGAATGCGCCCGGATGCGTCAGCACTTTCTCCTTTCAGGCAGGCTGGCAACGGAGCTGCCTTCGCCTTTCGGAAACCTTGAGGAGCTTTGCTGCAGTTGGTTGCGGGTTTGCTCCTAGTGCTACGTATGCTGTGTCTTTCCTCGTCAGTTGCATGAGGACGGCTTTTCGAGAAGCTGACTCCAAGCAACCTGGCGCAACTGGCTTTTGTATGTTACGCTTTCCGATGCCACAGCCCTCCTAGGTTAAGGGTTCTCGATGGCAACCTGAAATGGTGCTACGAGTGCCAAAATGCTGTGATCCCAGACATCATCAAGGGTATCTGGCTTTGTGGACCCGTAACCAAATTTGCAGAGATCCTGACCGACTACAAGGAAGGCGCCACACAGTGTCGGTGTCAATGTGATGCAGTGTCACGGATGGCTCGGCTCTCGCAGGTTTGCAAGACTTCGAGAAGTTGTCGAGCCGGCACTTCTTGCGGCCCTTGGAGATCGAGCAACTTGGCCTCGCAAGCGAATCTTGCGATGGCGTGACGTCTGTGGGCGTGGAGGATCGCGGCCATGCTCAGCGAGTTGAAACAGGCCCCCGCGCGGCGCGGAGCCTAAAGACAGAAGCGCGGCCAAAACAGCCCTTCCCCTGACCCGCCCCCCCCCGACCCGAGGTGTCTCAGCGAGTTGGCGGAGAAACTCCCGGAGGCCCCCTTTCTGTCTCTCTCTCTCTGCAATCCCCACACCGCGGCCGCCGCATCAGGTGGTGCTGCTATGCGCGGAGGAGCTCTCGCAGTGGATCGGCAACAAGACCAGGCCGAGCTGCGCCATTGCACATCGCCTAGCGGCCTAGCGCCGTTGCCGAACAGCGGCTGTTCTGTTTTCACGTGTGGTGTTGCTTTGGGCCCAGCTGGAGGCAGCTATCTCGACATCCCGGCTGCGTGGCCGAGTTCGTCTCGGATCTCCAAAACTTGGAGGACCCGGACCTGCTCGAGAGGACGAAGCCAGAACAACAAGCAAGCCCCCCCGCGCACACACACACACGGACACACACAGACAAACACACAGACACGCACAGACACACACACAGACACACACACACACAGACACACACACAGACACACAGAGACGCACAGAGACACACGAGAGACACACACAGACACACGAGAGACACACACACACAAACACACACACACACACAGACACACACACACACACACACAAACACACACACACACACACACAAACACACCCACACACACAGAGAGACGCAGAGACACACACACACACAGACACACACACACACACACACACACACACACAGACACACACACACACAGACGCACAGAGACACACACAGAGACGCACACAAAGACACACACAGAGACACACACAGAGACACACACAGAGACACACACAGACACAGAGACACACACAGAGACACACAACGAGACACACACAGAGACACACACAGAAACACACACGGAGACACACACGGAGACACACACGGAGACACACACAGAGACACACACAGACACAGAGACACACACAGAGACAGAGACACACACAGAGCAAAGAGATTCACACAGAGACACACACAGAGACACACACGGAGACACACACAGAGACACACACAGAGACACACACACAGAGACACACAAAGAGACACACACAGAGACACACACACAGACACCCCCAGAGACACACACACACACACGCAGACACACACACACACACAGAGACACACACACACACAGAGACACACACACACACAGACACACACACACACACACAGACACACGCACACACACAGACACAGACAC